GAGACCCCACAGGCCTGGCAGGCTAGACCCCTCTCTCCCAGGTCTGCCCGTCCCTCAGCGGCCCTTGTCGGGGGAACACCCGGAGACCTCGCCCTGGGGACCCTGGTGGTGTTCGAGGCCCTGGAATCCCAGTTGTCAGGCATGAGGCAGACCTGCTCGTCAGCTCCCTGGGGGCGCAGTAGGGGTGGGGGCAGGATTGTGCAGTTCCTGCTCAGACTTCTTGCTGTGTCCCATCCCTCCACCCTTGTCCCTTGTTCAGCTGCTCCCAGGGCAGGAGCTTGGCCTGAAAAGGTGGTCCTTGACACCTAGGGGTGGGGGGAGCTTCTTTGGGACCTTCTCACAGCTGCCCCCTTGGTCCTCTGCATGCTCACCCCACTGTCCCCCCACCTCCCCAGAGAACTGAATAGATTTTTCTCTGTGCAGTGAAAGGGAGAGGGAGAGGGGATCGAGCAGGGACAGGGGGCTTGCCTGCTCAAGTTCTCCACCTTTTTGGTCTTGGGACCCCTTGACACTCTTAGAAGTTACTGAGGCTCCAAAGGGCTCTGGTTTCTGTGGGTCATAACTACTGAGACTTGTCAGATTAGAAACAAACAGAGAAAATTCTTAGTGTTTATTAGTTATTTTAAAATAACTAATATTCCTTACTTAAAACAATATTAAGCCCATTACATGTTAACATAAATAACAATTTTAAAGCAAAAATAACTATACTTTCCAAAGCAGCAGCAAAATGAGTGAGCAGAATGGCATCCTTTTACAGTTCTGCAACTCTCTGTGGTGTCTGGCTTACCAGGAGACAGCTGGTTCTCACATCGGCTCCTGCAGCAATCTGTTGTGATGTGTTGTTGGGAAGGAGATATATGAAGATAATCCGGCCTCACACAGATAAGTGGTTAGAAAGGGCAGGACCTCACAGACCCACTGGAAGGGATCCTGGACCACACTTGGAGGATGGATAATTCGTGTTTTTTGTTTTCTGTGTTTTATGACACTTTGACATCCCAGCGCCAACTGATTACTAGAGATCACAAGCACTTCGACTAGGCGCAGCCTCTGATATGCTAACCGAGCAATCCAGAGCCATGTCCCAAGCCTCCTTTATCTGACTCTCCAGCATCCAGACAGTATTTCCCTGCCCATCCTAAACCACCCCAGTGCCAGCTATGGGACAACCAGGGACCATAGGTGGCCCAGAGCCTGCTAGAATTATTCAAAGTAGCCAAGCCTAAACTGTTCACCTGGCCCTGCCTCGCCACCCTGGTGCTCCCCGTGTGGCCCTGCACAGTGTGTGGTGCCTCCTGCTTCTAGGACACTGTGAGCAAAAACCTCCTCCTCCCTGACAGTCCTTTCCACGCCTCCCTACCTCCAGGTCATCCAGACCTCTCACTCCTCTAGACGTCTGTATCTGACACACCCTAGACCTGGAATTCCTTTACCTCCCTTCTCTGCCCAGCAAACTCTTACTCAGCCGTTGAGACTCAACTCAGAGGCCACCGCTTCTGTGAAGCCTGCCTTAGTCACCCTCCCGTCTGCTCCCCGGCACAAAGCGTTGCTCAAGCCCAGCACTGCCATCCACTAGTGTCCCCTCTCTTCCCACCTCTCCCCCAAGGGCAGGTGGCTGGAGGGAGGGAGGCCCCTTGTTCTGCTCTGCCATCCTGGGTTCAGGGCCTGACCAATGACTTTGGCTTTGTGGAATAAAGGGATGAGAGCATGAAGGGAAAGAGGGAGAATGCCTGCTCCTCAGGGAGCAGAAGCCGCTCCGGGAGACGCCCAGCAGGCTGGCTCCATTTGTGCCCCTGTCTTCTCTTCTTGAGGGGGCTGAAGCCACAGGAGAGGGAGAAAACAAACCCCCTGTCCTCCCTCTGTGTGGACACAGCCTACTTCCATCTACAGCCTGTGGCTGGGGATCCAGCCCCCTCTGGCATCTCTGTGGGAACAGGTCACTGGTCACTCCTGAGCCCTCTGTGTGTGTGTGTGTGTTGTTGTGTGTGTGTGTGTTGTGTATGGGAATGGTATTGCAAACTGCTTGCAAGAGTCTGACAGGTAACAAGATGGGTGAAGTTCATCATGGCCTGGGACAAGAGGGAGTGGTGGGGACTGCCGCAAAGGTGACCCACCCAAAGAGGTGACCTCAACTCAGCGCCAACAGAGCCAGGTCTTCCGACTTGCTAAGAGGAACTGGAAATTCTTACTTTCAGGTGAAATCTTCTGATTTTTAAGTGTTGTCCTAAATTTGTAACATACTGTGTTGATAAAGCAAAGGACAGCAGCAGGCCTCAAGGCCGCAGAGGTGAAGAGAGAGAAGCCTCTCTAGGTGGGGTAGGGGGAAGGGGAAGCGTTCAGCCCGGGGATTAGGACAAGCCCCAACCTGGCTTCTTTCCAGGGAGTCTCACTCACCCTTTGAGCCGCAGCAGCTGCGGCTGAGAATTTCGCCAACACCATTGGTTCCCCGCCCTCAGGCGAGCACTGAACTCCAGCAGAGACCAGAGGTAGCACACTTAAGAACAAGCCCTGGGAGCTGGAAGGGACCCCTTAGTCCAGTGTGGGATCTGGGGCCTGGGGAGGTCAAGGGACTTGCCCTGCGTTGTGCAGCCCACCCCAGGCAGTGTGGGCACTCCTGGTTGCCTGCCTGAGCCCACCTGTCAGTTCCTGATGCTGCCTTGCCAGGGAAGCATGAAATGCTGCTCTGAAGTAGCCCAGCAGCGTGAAAAGCCAATACTCCACCCCTTGTCACCTTCTATTTTATTCTCCAGAGCTCCACTCCCTCCGTCCCGTTTGAGCACAGCTTCCCCCCTCCTGGTGGCTTCTTCTGGAGCCATGAGATTACACACACTATTAGACACGGGAGGGGATTCTGTCATGAGAGTGGGATCTCAGCAGAAAATGAGCTTAAATATCAATTTGCCCATTTTTGAATTCTTTTAAGTGGAACAAACTAAATAATTTTAGTGATGAGAGAGACCCTTTGCAGATGACACTGAGTCCTTTCCTTGGGGTCCACTCTCACCCCTGCCCCTGCAGCTTCAGGAGGTGGAGGGGCACCTGTACCCCTGTGCTGAATGGTCATTTTGTGCACCTGGGTAGAATGATCTGGGGTGCCCCCCGCCAATTCCCCAGGGGAGCAGGCAGCCCCTGTGGGCCTGCAGTTCCAGGAGCATTGGGAGAACTCCCGGCCAAATGCCAGTCCCGGTGCCTGAAATTCTGCCAGCTAAGCTCTGGCCTTGAAGGATTTTTCTTCTTCTAAAGTCACTTATTAAAATATAAACACTCTGGGGAGGGAGAAACCTCTGCTGCCTCCTCTGTCTCTGCCTGACCACAGGTTGGATTCAAGCGCTGCACTGAATTTGTGGGCAGACAGGTCTAAGCCGAGCCTGAGAGGAAACAGGGCGAGTTTGTGTCCCAGTGGAGTGGCCGCTTCATTCAGAAATACAGAAGTGAGGCACCTCGCCTAGGTTGGGGAACTCAGGAAAGGCTTCCTGAGAACGGGACTTCAGTGCTGGGTCCTGAGGAGTAGGTGTTAAGGGAAAAGCAGGGAAGGTGAGGGGGCTCCAGGCAGAGGGAACGGCATGTGCAGAGGCCTCAGGACAGAACCTGATGTGTTTGAGAATCTGCAGGTCACTCAGGACTGAGTGGCAGGGGGTGGAAGGGGAGCTGGAGAGGCCGTGAGCCATGCTACGGAGTCTGCTGGTCCCACTGGGGGCAACTGGGAGCCACTGAAGGCTCTAAGCAACAAAGGGACCAAGTTAAATTTGAAGTATAGAAAAAGTGTCTACAGCAGCTTGGAGACTAGGTGGTCGGGCTCAAGATGGAACAGGAGGGTCAGATGGGAAGCTATTGCCGGAGTTCCAGTGATGGGTGTTGGTGGCCGGGACCCAGACTGTGACAAATGGGATCAGGAAATCAATGATCTAGGGCAGGGCAGAGCGTAACATCCCTGGCTCCATCCTAAGCTCCAGTCACCTGGACTCCATCCCTTAGAGCAGGACACATCCCTCTCTCCTCTTCTCCACCAGTCCCCCCACCCCATGGCCAAGGAGACGCAGACTCCGCCATCGCTACCTGGCTGGTCCGGGTGATGCAGCGGCGGATGAGGTCCCTGATGTTGTTGCGCTTGTCCGTCTGGAAGTACACGGTGACGCTGGAGTTTTCCTTCAGGTAGGGCTTCTCAGCTGAGGCCCAGGTGTGCAGCAAGGTCGGCTCGCTGCCCTCTGAGGCCACAGGGAAGTAGGTACTTGAGGCCACGGAGCAGGAATCGAGTCCCTTGGAACCTGCCGCGGCCTCTCCTGGGGGCTCCGGGGCAGAGGGGGGCTCCTTGGCCTGGGCCTGGATGTACTGGGCCTCCACCGAGGACAAGAAATCCACCTCGCCTTCCTGGCTGAGCACCCGCCAGTAGGCCTCGGGACCCCCATCCAAGAGGGCATCTGTGGCCAGCCGGGCACTCTCATTGTCACTGAAGTCAGCCCTGGCTGGCCGGACCCACTGGCTCTTGACCTCTTCCAGGCGTTTCTGGATCTTGCCCACGTGTCTTGCCCCGCTCATGCTGCCCTGTCCCTGAGTCGTGTGGGGGGCAGCCGGCACCCGAGCTCTTCCTGATGTCAGGGGCAAGCAGGCCACACCACCCAGGAGGAGCGGGGCTCACAGCACTTCTGGAAAGCACCCACTCCTAGCACTGGTGTGCGGCCCGCATCCAGGATTACCTGCTCCAAGGTAATCCTGCCCTCCTGAGCAATGCTTCACAGGAATCATCACCCACTGCCAGGGGTTGGTTTATCTCTGAGCGACACCCGCCCTGCCCGCGGGCCAGGAGGGCTGGCTCTATCACGCCTGGGCACACTCAGCCCTGGGAGACTTCTTCTCCTCCCAGCAGCCAAGATGAGCCAGCTTTCCAGCTTGTTGTGCAATTCTCCCAAGACCCTCAGGCCCCATTTACAAAGCAAGCAGCCTCTCCCAGCACAGTCACCGCTGTGCCTCAGGTCCCCTCCTGTGCTCCTCATTTCAGACACCAGTTGGTTCAGAGACAGTTTCCCTGATGGGCCCCTGAGATCTGCCATCCATCCTGTGCCCATGTGAGGAGGGAAGCTGGATGCCCCCCAGGCAGCACTGTTCACCAGGCACTGCTCCTTTCTCTTGGTAACACCTCCAAGTTCCCAGCCCTCCCCATTCTCTGGAAAAGCCTTCTTTCCCATCTCTCTTCCCTTATTGTGTTTGCAGCGGTCATGCTTGAACAGAACCCCCAGAGAGGTTCCATTTCTGGGGCCGGCACTGATCTGTTGGAAGCGACGGCTGCTTGGAATACTATCTGGAGAAGAATCTTCGGCTGTGTCCGGGCCCACGGACCGATGGGATCAGTCTGTCTTGGTGCTGGTGGGGCAGGTGGCCGCAGGCGTGTTTGAAGTAGATGAACTGCTAAGGGAGGAGCCACTTTTTCTTTCCAGGTCAGGCCATGGTCAATTCCACGTCAATGGAATGCAAAACCTAGAGCCCTGATGTTACTGAATCAGGTCTGACTGCTTGATGCGCAAAAATCAATATTCCAGAGAGAGACAAAAGTTGGTGAAAAGGAAAGCTGCCTTTAATCAGAATGCTGGCAATCTGGGGAAATGGACCCAGTGTCCCCAAAACCCACCTCCCAAAATTCTGCTCAGCCGTGGAGTTTGTAAAGGGAAAAGGGGAAGTAATCTCAGTCATTGACGTAGGGAGTCAGAGTCGTCGCCATCCCTCCCCGTGTGCAGGCTTGTCGGCTCCTTGTGATTCTCCCTTAGGTGCTCTCTTGTTCACACAGTTTGTTCGTGAGATTGCTGAAAGAAAAGCTAGGGAAGAGATCTGGTCATCGGCTGATTACTTATTCTTCATTTCTAATTTGATCTATGGAAAGAACCAACAGATTAGACAAGGTGTGGTGTGATCAAAAGATTTGAAAGGTGTGCTAGGGCCGGAGGTGAGTAGGGCATAGGGCGCCTGGTTTGAGGTTAGTGACAGGACAAAGGGGCCTCCTGCAGAGAGCTCTTTCCTGCCCAAAGCTGCTTACACGGACTGCCTTTGATTGGGTTCTTCCAGAAACAGACTAGGATTCGAGTACAAGTAGCTAACTGGGAGGTGATCCCAAGATGCTCTGGTAGGGGAGCAGAGGAGTGAGACAGGAAGGTGAGGGGAAGCTGCTCGGGGCAGGGTACGTTAAGGAGCATGTCACCATTGTGGACATCTGGGATTTATGAACATCTGTGGGAACGTCTGGGCTCTGGTCCTGCCGGGGACCTCCAGGAGACGGTATAGAATACATCTCAGACTTTTCCTACCCAAAGGCTGAGAAAACTGCAGAATCTATCTACCAACCCCCACTGATCGTTGGTCCAGGGCTGCTTCTGGGGCTGCATTAGTTCCCCAGCCCTACTGGCCGGTTCTGTGGGCTCACCAAGCTCAGCCCTGGAGCCCGAGAAAGCCTGCAGGCAGAGGTCACAAGTGCAAAGGACAAGCTAACGAGGTAAGAGTGGGGCCCTGACAATATCCGCTATGAGAATTATGGCAGGAAACTAGGATTGAGTGGTCTTCAAACAGCTGGCACGTGGTAAGAGCCAGATGCCTCTCTGCGGCACATCTATCTACTCTTTGGAGGACAGTGCTATATATAAGCATCTGTAACCCCACAAAAGTTGTGGAGGGAGGCTGTCTGGAAGTAGAGCAGTGTTTTTAAACGTACAGTCCAAGAAAGAGAAAGGGGATTTAAAAGGGATTTCTTCTCTTTTGAAGGATATAGAAGGAATCTAATTCAAGACCTCGGGCACCCTTCCCCTTATTCCACTTTATCTCCTTCCACAGGGCCTGGACCCTTGATGGGGACAAAGCTAATACCCTCTCTGTCTTTGGTGCCCCTGGCTCCGCACGCCCTCCCTTCTGCCAGCTCCCTGCTTGTGCAGATTGACTTCGCCTCTTGCCCACATTCTCCTTGGACCTTCCCTCCTCTCCATCTCCTCTGGGTCCTCAGCCCACTCTCCAATCTGTCATCAAATCCAGTCCCCAGTCTGGTGAGGGGATAATAATCCGTGGGATTTGCGCTGGTTCCCTCCGAGGCTCAGAAGCTGTGGATGGCTCGCAGTTGCCTGGCACGTTGAGCACCAAGTCTCGAGCCTAGCCTTTGGGGCCCTGCATGTCTGTGACCTGTGTGAACATTGCAGCCTGACCTCTCCTCCACCTGGCCGTCATCGAGTCCTCCCTGCACGCTGGCTCTCTGAGCTAAGGGACACATGGAGGATGAGGCTTCGTCTCACAGATGAGGTAAGCAAGTTTCAGAGAAGTTGAGTAACTTGCCCAGCTAGTAAGTGGCAGAGCCCGACACAGTCCCTCCAAAGCCAGTGCACTTTCCACTGTGCCAAGCTTCACCCTCCCTTCCTTTCCCCGGTCCCTTTCCACTCTCAGAACAATCCAAGTCCTCTTATCAGTTCCAGAAAGTGTGTATGGGAGAAGGACAGAAGTGGGTAGATGTTCTGGGGCTCACCTTTCACCTGGGCCTGATTCTCTTTGGTAGATGAATAAATGATGGGAGGTCCCTCTGAGACAGAGGCAGGTCTCCGTGGCCTGTGGGGGCCATTTTCACTAGTCTACTTGCGCAGTAGCTATCTTTTTTTTTTTTTTTTTTTTTTAAAGACTCTTTGAGTGGAACTTTCCCCTCAAGCTGCTGGAGGAAGAAGAGCCCTGCTTCTCCTGTCCCCAGCTCCCTGCCCTTACGCAGACCCCAGGGACTCTATCAAATCCTTTAGAATAGACAGCAAATGCAGTCTCTGTGTGCTGTCCCACCTTTGCCCCCGTTCCTGCACTCCTGGCAGACGTTACTAGTTGATCATAGAACTTCTTCCCTGTAAGCTGGGAACCATCCCCTCACTGCTCTCTACGGGGCTCAAAGAGAAGTTCTCACCTAGAAGGAATCTTGGATGTACTGATGAGAAAACCGTACATCCAAGATGTACTAATGAGAAAACTGTTGCCCAGAAAGGGAAAGTGACTGTTCTCAAAGTCACACAGCTGGCCAGTGACTGTCATCAGCGTTGGCCCTCCCCTCCTCTGCAGCCCCAGCCATGTGAAATGTCATCATTCTTGCTGGGTCTGCTGGCTGAAATAACAAATTTCTCCCCTGGGATTGCACTTCTGGACCAGGAAGTCTGGCCAGCTGTTGAGCCACATTGTCATACGTTGAGAAATCCTTATCAAAGAGCCTTTGATTCCAGGCGCTGTGGATTATGGACAACTTACTTCCCTTCTTCCATCCTGTGACCTGAAGTGTAGTCTCTCTGACTCATGAGGATACTGACAAAGAGGTAAGGAATGAGAAGCCAGTCTCCTGTTAGCAAATGAGTGGTGTTTGGGGCTTCCTGAGAATTCCATTTGTCTAGGGCCATGGTTCTCAACAGGGGGCGATTTTGCCCATCTAGGGGGGGATGTGGCGGTGTCTGGAGACATTGTTGGTTGTCACAGCTTGGAGGGGTGATGAAGCCACTGGCATCAAGTGGGTATAAGCCAGGGATGCTGCTACACCCTGCAGTACACAGGACAGCCCCCACCATAAAGAACTATCTGGCCCCAAATGTCAATAGTGCTAAGACTGAGGAACCCTGGCCTAGGGCCCGGGGAATGACTAGTGACATGACTGGCCCTCGCCCATGTAGGAGGTCCAGTCCCCTGCCTTTGCTCAGCCCGCCCCCTCAGCTGGAAGTCCTTGCTTCCCCCAACACAATTTATTCAAATCCTTCTCTGCATTCAAGATCTCTCCCGATTCCCATCTATGGGAGGGAGCCTTTCCCGACTATTCCTAAACAGCCTTAACTGCTTCTCCTCTGAGCCTACAAGGTGCTTCTAGAACTTGTCTCCGTCAGTCTTGTACTAGTGATGGGTGCACTTCCCCATCTCCCACTGCATTTAATTCCTTGAGTGGTGCAAAGTCAAAAAGCTTCCATGCCCTTGGAATCAGGCACAACTGTGTTCAGATTGTGCCTATGATAATATGTGACCTCAGGTAGGTAACTTAGAGGACCTGCCTGAACTTCACTTTTCTGTCCATATAACCACAGAACACTTTTGGAACACGTCCTAAGTACCAGGTGCTCTTCTACGTGCTCTACGTGTGTAAACTCATTCAGTCCTCACAGCAGCCCTGTGAGTAAGTGCTATTATGACCAGTTCTGTTTCATGGATGAAGGAAACTGAAACACAGAGGTTACCTGACTACCAAGTTCACTGGCCGGGAAGTGGCTGATCCAGGAGCCGCAGGCGGGTGGTCCGGTCCCTCTGGTAACCACGGTGCCTTCTGCCTCCTTGACGGGATGAGCCTCAGAGGGTGTGAGATCTAAGGGAGAAGGCCTGTGTGATGAGTGGTCCAAACTTGCCCAGTTTCTGCTCTGCTCCTCAGCCTAATACAGCACCAATATATCTTCCGGAATATTGTCGATATTATATGATACACTGCATCCTGTCACAGCCCTGCAATGTCTTTGTAAAACCGAGGCACAGGGAGGTTAAGTAAATTCCTCAAGAGCCCAACTGCAGAGCCTGGATTGGGTTTGTCTCCAAAGACCTGGCTCCTATCTGCACCCAAATTCTGTAATTGCTGGTGTAAGTGAAAATCTCCTCCTCTAGACTGTGAGCGATTTGAGGCGGGGGACGGGACAGGTTAGGCACGACTTAGCTTCCCCAGCGCCTCTCCCACTTTGGGGCTGCACGTGGTAGGCATTCAATGAATGTTTGTTAGGTGAATAAACGGCTCAGAGCTCCTGGGGCAGAGGCCCACTTGCACAGGCAGAAGGTGCTCAGATAGGATTCCAGAGCTTGTCTGTGGGGCAGCCGGGGCCTGAGAGCTTGGGCTGTGGGCCCAGGAACCTGGAGGAACAGGGCGCCTGTTTGAGCTCCCGGAGCACCTGCCAGCCTCTCCCTACCACATCCCCATCAAGGCCTGCAGCAGCAGGAAAATTGTACGCTTGCATTACCCAGCGACCCAAGAAGTGCAATTAAGTTGAAAATTAGTTGGCATAATTAATTAGACGGGTAAATAGCTCCCTGTCAACACCAATCAATCCATTCTGCATATAATCAGCTCAGTGCAGGCAGGCCAGAGCTCAAGCAGCTGCTGCTGCTGCTGGCAGGCCAGGGCCTAGGGTGGGAGCAGAAATGGGACAGGGTGTCCAGCCAGGTACCCTAAACCCACCCCACCCCCAGGTCCTTCTACAACTGCTTTTCATGGGAGCAGCCTCCTGGCAAGTCCATCTTCGGCACCCAGCAAAGCCACAGCTTAACTCCCAGGAAGCCACAGCTGCAAAGTCCCTTTGCTCCCTCAAGTTTCCTACTTTCGAGTTCCCGGTCCATTGCTCGAGGTTTCTGACGTGCATAAAAACCACAAAGAGCTCCCTTTTCTTGGCTAATAAATTTGCAGATGCTTTTTAAAAAATTAAAGTATAACTTAGATGCAGTAAAATTTACCCTTGTTACTGTACAGCTTTATGAGTTTTGAGGAATGTGTACAGTTGTATAACTGTAACCGAGCAGGACCCTACAGGGTCTTCCTGGGACAGACCTCCCCATGTCCTCAACCTCCCTTTTGTTTGTAGAAAAACTTTAGCTTCCTAGGCCTTCCCCGAGTTCCAAAGAATAAATTTAATCAGAGAAGTGATAAAAGGCAAAAGCAAAGGAAAACAGTCAAGCAAGACAAAATAATAGTTTAGCCATTGTTTAATGGCTAAAGTCAAGGACATCTAACTCCTCCTCAAGGACTATAGAGAATATTCTGAGCCATGTCCTTTGAGCCATTTAGCAGATACTGAAACCCCCATCAGGTGGAAGGGTTAACTGTATGCTGCCCACAAGCACATAGACCCCAGACCAGTTGGAACCAGAAGGTTGATGATGTTGACTCCTGATTACCTCACCACCAACCAATCAGAAAAATGTCCACGAGCTGACCACACACCCTGCAACCCCTCTCCCTCATCCTATCGTTATTTATTTATTTATTTATTTATTTTGCGGTATGCGGGCCTCTCACTGTTGTGGCCTCTCCTGTTGCGGAGCACAGGCTCTGGATGCGCAGGCTCAGCGGCCATGGCTCACGGGCCCAGCCGCTCTGCGGCATGTGGGATCCTCCCAGACCGGGGCACGAACCCGTGTCCCCTGCATCGGCAGGCAGACTCTCAACCACTGCGCCACCAGGGAAGCCCCCACGTCCTATCTTTAAAAACCTTTCCCTGAAAGCCATTGGGGAGATCAGGTCTTATAAGCAAGCACTAGCTTCCTGGACTCCTTGCTTGGTGCCCTGCAATAAACGCTGCCCTTTCCTTCACCACAACCCAGTGTCATTGGATTGGCTTTACTGGGTGTGGGTGAGTGGACCCAAGTATGCTTCAGTAACATAACCAGCAGCATGATTAAGATCTAGAATCCTTCCATCACCACACAAAAAAATCCCCATTCCCTTCTGTAGTCAACTGCTTCCCCCACCCCCAGCCCCTGGCAACTACTGATCAGTTATCTCTCCCAAAAGTTTTACCTAGGGACTTCCCTGGTGGTCCAGTGGTTAAGACTCTGCCCTTCCACTGCAGGGGGCATGGGTTCAATCCCTGGTTGGGGAACTAAAGATCTCATGTGGTGTTGCCAAAAATAATTTAAAAATAATAATAAAATAGAGAAGTTTAAAAAACAAACATCAAAAACCTCAATATTAAAAAAAAAAAAGTTTTGCCTATTCCAGAATGTCCTATAAATGGAATCATATAGCGTGAGCCTTTTGAATCTGGCTTCTTTGTCTTAGCATAATGCACTTGGGATACATTCATATTGTGGTGTGTGTCCCTGCTTAGCTACTTTTTATGGCTGAGTCATGTTTCATTGCATGCATGTACCACGTCTTGTTTATCCCTTTCCCAGGTGAAGGACATTTGGTTGTTTCTAGCTTGGGGCATTTATGAATAAAGCCACTGTAAATGCTCATATAGAGGTTTTTGTATGAACATAAGTCTTCATTTCACTTAAATACCTAGGAGCAAGATTGCTGGGTCTACGGTAGGTGTATAGATAACTTTATAAGAAACTGACAAACTGTCTTCTAAGATCCTGTACCATTTTACCTGCCCACCATCCATGTAGGAGACTTCTGGTAGCCCCATATCTTTGTTACTGCACAGACTTTACAAAATGATGACATCCAGTGCTGGCGACAGCAGGGCCAGCTACATAATTTACGTGGCCCAATTCAAAATGAAAATGTGAGCCCCCTTGTTTCAAACAAAAGGAAAAAGTGCCATTAGTGGTATTAAAATAGAAAGTTTTTTCCTTTCTTCTGTAGTCTTTCTCTCATCTTCTCATGGTATTTTTTTAAATTTGCTATTTAATGTTTTAAGTAAAGAAAAACTAAAATTAAAAATTATTAGCATGAACTTTGCCATTTATCATTTATTTTTAGATTGTGCAACGCCATTTTTTAAAAAGACTTTTTTTCTTTCTTTATTTCTGGCCGCAGCTTGTAGGATCTTAGTTCCCTGACCAGGGATCAAACCCAGGCCCATGGCAGTGAAAGTGCTGACTCATAACCACTGGACCACCAGAGAATTCCCATGTGCAAAGCCATTATAAATGCAAATATGAGAGCTTTTAACTTGTATGTAGAATCACTGAAATTACATGGTCTGTATTTCATTTATACATGCATGTGTATTTTGTTCTTATCGGAAAGTGGAAATGCTGCAGGTGGCCAAATGATCAGAACCCACCCAAGGTGGCCATTGGGCTGCCAGGTGAATCAGGGCTCTCCCTCCGAGCTGGGCTGGGAAACTCTTCCTCTGGTTTTTTTCTTCTGAAAATAACTCTATTGGCTTTTGCTTTTGTTTTGTGAATATTATGGGTTCATTATAAAAATTTGGGGAAAACAAGCAAAAATAAATAAAATGCATTAAAATGAAAGAAAAAAATCAAACATCTTCCATAGCCACACCATTAGACATTGTAATTTTTTAAATATAAATTTATTTATTTATTTATTTATTTTATTTTGGCTGCGTTGGGTCTTCGTTGCTGTGTGCGTGGGCTTTCTCTAGTTGCGGCGAGCGGGGGCTACTCTTTGTTGTGGTGCACGGGCTCCTCATTGCGGTGGCTTCTCTTGTTGCAGAGCATGGGCTCTAGGCACGCGGGCTTCAGTAGTTGTGGCATGTGGGCTCAGTAGTTGTGGCTCGCGGGCTCTGGAGCACAGGCTCAGTAGTTGTGGTGCATGGGCTTAGTTGCTCTGCGGCATGTGGGGTCTTCCTGGACCAGGGCTCGAACCCGTGACCCCTGCATTGGCAGGTGGATTCTTAGCCACTGCACTGTAATTTTTAACATTTTCTTGTGTGTTGTGGCAACAATGTAGATTAGATCCTGCAGAACCCACCGCAGTCTCCCTCTCATGTGCTTTCCCATGGCATCTGGGAAGCTCAAAACTCTTTTTCCCAGGCCTCCCAAAAGCAGAGCTCTGCATGGAACCCAAGCTCTGACAGGCAGCAGCATCCTCACATGACTTGGAAGGTTTTTCTGTGGCAGCAGCTTAAGCAGACAGGAACACTGATGCTAGTCCAAGGCGTCAGAGGTGGAGAGCGGTGGCAGCAGGAAGGCTTCCACTGGAGCAGTCCATGGTGGGACTGGGCATCTTCCTGGCTGGGTTGTTTTCTGTAGCATCCAAGTGTGGTTCCCTAGGCCTCCTGGGAATTTTGTAGTGAACTAAGTCTCTGCAACAAACCTCTTTCTACTTAACCAGTTAGAGTGGATTCTGTTGTCTGCAATGAAGAACTCAACCTTTGGGTCTCAGCTTAACTTTTATTGTCTCCTTCATAGCACTTACCAAAATATGGAATTGCCTTGTTTATATATTTGTTTACTTACTTAGTGTCTTTTAATGAGGAGGAACCAGTTCTGTTTTGTTCACCACTTTGATCCCAGTGGCTATCCCACAGCAGCGCTTGGTAGGTATCTGTTGGGTGAAATAATTGGTCACCTTCCAGCACCCCTTACCCCAAGAGAGAGCAGAAACACTAGCCTCACCACTTCTGTGGACCAAGTGGGCTGTATTCCCTCTATGCGTACAACTGCTCCCCACTGCCACCAACACTTGCTGATTGCCTCTTTTTGCAGAGAAATGCAATGTTGTAGAAGATTCCCACTTGCACCCCTCTTTGTTGCTAGTGACTTAAAAAGACTATAAGGATGAATCAGCTCACTGTGGCCAGCTCCCTGCTTCCCTTCAATGAGCAAAGCCCTGCTCTGTGGTGAGTATACGTGTCTGTGTGTGATAGCTGGGGACAGATTTCTGAATAGAATAAGACCCACAGACTCAGGAGGGCAAACATTATATCATTCATTCATTCCACAAACACGTACCAAGTGCCTCCTATGCATGTATGTGCAAGGTGCTGGAAGGGATCCAGACCTCCCAATAAATGCCCCTTTGTAATCAGACTTTCTCCTTTTGGCCATCAGACTGTCACCTAAATTAGTTGAAGTCTCTAAGCTTTTAATTATGAGCCTGATAATGCAACTTTCCCATGGGGTTGTGCAATTTCAGGCACAAACCCTACGTTTGAAATACAGGTGCAGGAATAGATGTCAGTGACATGATTTGAAAGGATTACTGTGCAAGCAGCCCAGCCCCTGGATGCCTGCCGACTTCAGGCCGGAGCCACGACACCCATGAGCTCTGTGATGAAGGTGGCCTCATGGCTCTGCATCCCAGCACTGCTTGGGGTGCCAGGACATATACCGTGACCTCTGCCATTGCCATACACCTGCTGGAACTGTGGGCAAAACCACTGCCCTGTTCCAGGTCTGAACCTGGAAGGGGCAGGCCCAGTTCCTTGTGGCCCCAGGGCTGCTGGGACCACACCTACCACCACCTGTCTCACCTGTCAGAGGGGGTGGGGTGGGAGGGCGCTGAGAGGTGAGTGCTGTAACCCTTTCCTCTCCTCTGGCTAGGGGACCTCGCTGTATGTGGAGCATGGGAGATGGACCTGAATGTGTTTCTGGCCAGTTCATGGAAAGGCCTGCTTGGTTATTGAAATCAGAGCCTGCCCATCTTTGGAACTAGGAATGAGGTCTTTGATCAGGCTAAAATTTGGGGATCTAGAAATGAACCCACTGCAGTGTCTGCCCTCAAGGAAAGACAAGCAAATACAGTAGAATGTGAGAAGCCTTTTCTGTCATCATCAGATGTTCAAGGGCCCACCATGGGCTCTGCAGAGCCTATAGCATGACCCCCACTGTGGCCATGCCTACAGTCCAGTGGGAAAGACGGCAAATGAAAAGTCATGACATTGAGCTGGGATGAGTGTTAAGGTCAGAGAAGCAAGAGCCAGGAGCGTAGAGAGCGGGGGTGGTGGTGGGGGGGGGTGGTGGGGGTGGGGGGGGGGGGGGGGGGCTGACCTAGCCTGGGGTCAGGAGGCCTGTCTGAGGTCCCGACAGGTTGGAGGCATTAGCTGGGGGAGGGGGGAGGGAATGGGTGCCCCAGGGGTGCAGGGGTTGGGTGTGTGCTGGGGGGCACAAGAGTGGGAAGAGGTGAGCCCAGAGGTCAGACCCTGGTGGGAGGGAGCACGGCAAGAGGATTTGGGTCTTTATCTCATGGATGTGGGAGCTACAGAAGCTGTCACGCGGACAGACAGGAGGCCAGACAAGCGTTTTCTGTGACGGCTGCCTCTGGCCTCAGTGTGGCAAGAACACAGCCCCTCAGGGAACATCCTGGCAGTCAGGGGCGAGGCCCTCTTCCTCCTGGGTGCTCTGTCAGCACGGCTCAGAGCAGTGACTCTCAGAAGCTTCCAGCAACAGGCTGACTCATGCGGTGGCGGCCGCTCGCCCAGTCAAAGATGGAGCTGGAAGGGCCATGGCCTGGCGCTGCCTGGGACAGATGGCAAAGACGTGCCAGCTGCTCCCTGCAGGGCGTTTCTGAGGAAAACCCCCTCCCGCCCCACGCGCGGCCTCCGCTGCCTCCCTGAACTTGCCCAGCTGGCTGCGCCCTGGCTTCTGGCTTGTCACAGCCAGAATAACCAGATGGGACCTGTGGGCCCGCGGCCAAGCCCTGCCACGTTATCGAGTCCTGGCTGGGAAGGGGTCAGGTCTGGGAAACCTCTGCCCCCTCTCAAAGCACCGTGGGAGAATCCACACCCCAAACCGGTCCCTTCTCTCCAGCCTCCTTCCTTCCCCAGTAAGCTTTCTCCTTACTTAGCCTCTTGACTCCCTCTATATTTTCAATTTTTATTTATTGACTTTTGTAAGCAGAGGGAACTGGAAAGGAGCTGAGAGTCACAGTGAGCCTGATTCTGAAGCCCACTCACCTCGACTTCCCTCCCACTGGACCAGTGACTGCAGGGGACTGTGCAAAGACCGTGGGCTGTGGTCAGGTCGGGTGCCACCCACAATCTGGCTGTGACCCCTGCCAAGCAGATGGAGACCATGACCCGTGGGGGAGGATGGAAGTGCAGGGAGAGGTCAGGGGTGAAAAGAAAAGCTCTTAACAGCGGCAACTGCCCTAGCACAGGCAAACGCCCAGAACCTCTGGTCTTCACCCTCAGATAAATGGAAAATTCCTCATGTGCTCCTTGCGGGGTGAAACAGCAAACCCACCTGAATCCAGGACAGAACAGATTTTTCAGCTGCCCACAAGCTCCTCACATGTCCATTGTTAAAGGTGTACAAGAATGTTCGCTACAGTAATTGTTACTAATTGGGAAGAATTCGATGTTCTAGAATTAGAAGACCTAGAGCAGCTTGGGCTGCGAGGACAAAGTACCACAGGCTGAGGGTGGAGGGGTCAGGGGTGGGGTGGGGCTTAAACCACGGTAATTTGTTCTCTCGCAGTTCTGAAGGCAGGAAGGCCGAGATCAAGGTGTTGGAAGGGTTGGTTTCTTCTAAGGCCTCCCTCCTTGGCTGGCAGACGGCCACCTTCCTTCTGAGTCTTCATCTGATCTTCCCCCGGGCAGGTCTGCATCCTAATCTCCTGTTCTCAGAAACAGTTTCACTGCAGTTACAAAGAACAAGGAAGATCTATATGTATTGACAGGGAAAGAGTTCCCAGCTTATTGTTAAGTGGAAAAAGTAAGTCACTGGACAATATGATACTGATAGCAGTGGTTCCCTCTGGAGAGGTAACAGGATTGGGGTAAGGGTGGGGTGAGGAAGACATTTATATGTGTAAGTCTGTGCAGAGATTGGATTATTGTTCTCAATTCTTCACTCCCCTCCTTGCCCTGGCTTTGCAGCTTCTCCCCTGTGGGCTAGGTATATCTCCCTGGCCCGTGGATGTTGAACTTGGCCGGGTGACTTGGTTTGGCCGATAGAATTTGGATGGAGGTGCCCAGAGCAGAGGCCTTAAATGTGCTTGCTTGGTATAGTTTGGTCTCTCAGGCTTCTGTGACCCTCAGTGAGAAGAAGGCACCCCAGGAAATGGCTGACCACGAAGACCACAGTCTTTAAGACTGACCTTCCTGCTGCCAATGGAGACCATGAAGACATGACAAGAAGGGCTGAACCGAACCACAGCCTGGCGCTAGCCCAGCCGACAACACACCTGTGAGCAAGAAAAATACATGCTTACCTGGAAAACATTATGCTGAGTCAAGTAAGCCAGACACAAAAGGACGAACATCGTACGATCCCACGTATATGAAATATCTAGAAAAGGCAAATTCACAGACAGAAAGTAGATTAGAAGCTACCAGGGGAGGAGAATGAGGGGAGAGAGGGGAAAGAAGGGCTATTACTTAATGGGCACAGAGTTTCTGCTTGGGGGGATGAAAAGGTTTTGAAAACAGATGTTATGATAGTTGCACAGCATCGCAAATGTAGTTAATGCCACTGAATTGGACACTTAAAATGGTTAAAGTGGTAAATTTTGTGTTATGTATATCTCATACCACAATTTTAAAAAATAATAATGTAATATACCAAAAATACATTTGAATTGTACACCTTACTTTTAAAAATATTTATTTATTTTATTTACTTATTTTCCTTAGGCTGTGTCGGGTCTTAGTTGTGGCACACAGAGTCTTTGCTGAGGCATGCAGGATTCTCTCTAGTTGTGGTGCGGTGGCCTCGCAGCACGTGGGATCTTAGTTCCCTGACCAGGGATTGAACCCATGTCCCCTGAATTAAAAGGCAGATTCTTTACCACTGGACCACCAGGGAAGTGCCTGAATTATATACAGTTTAAACAAGTAAATCGTATGGCAGGAGAATTATATTTCAATAAAGCTATTCAAAAAGAAACCCACATTGTTTAAGCCATTAAGTTTTGGGTGATTTGTTAAGCAGCGCTTGTGCAGCACTAGCTGACTGATACAGTATGTATGCATGTGTTTTATAATGAGCACATATTATTTGTGTAATAAAAATATGCAAAATCAGAATTTATCGGGTTCCCTCCGAACAGGCCCCTCTTTTCTGTTTTCCTGCCCAGTGGTGGCACCAGGGCATTTATGGACATTGCTCCTCTAAATTTGGAGTGACACTTTGCTTCTCTCTTTATTCTTGGCAGTAACCCAGACCCAAATCCTGGCCGTTCCTGTAGACTGTGTCTCCACTCGGCTCTGCAGCATCTCCCAGAACATGTTTTCACCTCCCTTGGCCTGGATTGTTTCCTGGCTTCCCAGGTGGTCTCCCTGCCAGGGTCTATCCAGGCCATGGGGGAAGAATAATTTGCAACCTGTTTCCAGTACGTTACTCTGCTCAGCCAGCCCTGAGCCTGCCTCAACACACACACACACACACACACACACACACACACACACACACACACACACACACACACACACATGCTTTTCATCTGTAAAGAAGGCTTACGACAGCCTCTGCTGCCCATCAGAACAAATCTAAGCCCCTCAAATGTCACCTGGATATGCACCTCAGGGGTACGATGTGATGATGTCCCAAAATTGATCAGCTGGAGAAAAAGCTGCTGTAGGCGGTCGGGCCTCTGCTCCCTTCCTGTCTCTCCTTCATATCTGTTCTTTCTCCACCTTCAGGATTTTATGGAAGATGAGAAAACCTCCAGTGCTGCAAATAAAGGGAATGTTCAGTTCAAAACATTGGTTTAGAAGTTGAGAACGTGAAAGACGCTAATGACTAATTGTAGTGGCTTCTAATTAAAAACTGAAAGAGGACATACATAACCAAGGTGATGGGTAAGAGATGATTGTTTAGAATATAGCTCAGAATTGTTAAAGGAATTGAGTTTTAGTGTCGACACAAAGCTCTCTCCATCCTTTTTTATTTCTTCATGTGAACAGAGTGTCTCAACATTTACATCTATAAATATGGAAAATAGGAACAGAATTAATGCTGAATCCCGTCTCATTCTAGAAAAAGGGAATAGCTAGCCATGCAGACATGAATTAAGTGGAATTAAAAAGTTGCATCCATCTCATGGATATTTGTTTCAGATTTTCCATTTAATAATTATTCTTCAAAATCATAAATATATTTATGATTTTTGTGTACTAACAAAAATAGTGATATGTCAACTTAGAAGAAAAATATGACACAAAACCTTATGGTCACAGGAAACAAAATTTTCAATTTATGTACATATTCTTGCCGCTGAGAGGCAAGTTAGGGTGCTCAATAACAGACATTCAAACATAAACTATTATATGAAGATAAAATGCTGGGGGTGGGAGTATAATGGAAATATGAGTTCTGGGGTGAAAATAAATGTAAACTTAACAAATGTTAGAGACGCTTACTCATGAGTATTTAAAATAGATTATGGTTTGTATGGAATCCATAAGGTATTTCGATTTCATTGGATGCCTGGTTAAAAAAAATCATACATGCAGTTTTATTTTTAGAAAATCAGCATATACAATCTACTGGAAATTACATCCTTTGAATTTACAACGAGAACGTTTAGATACAAGTTTAGCATTAATCGAGGAGGTGTGTAGACGCTTCTCAAGATTATTGTAGGAGGTGCACGTGAGGAAACACTTGCGGAAACTGCTGCTGGGGGTGAGGGATGAGCTGGTGAGAGCCCCGCGCCGCGCCGTGGTCCGACTCGGGACGGAGCCCCACCTCGCGTAGCTACGAGCCGCTCGAACTTGGGCAGGTCGCCCAGCCTCTGTGAGTTTGCGTTTGCGCATCGGTGTGCGTAGTGCAGCGGTAACACCGGCCCCCTCCGGGTGGTTTACCCGGCAGTAAATGAGCCGCCGCCGTGTAAGCGTTTAGCCTCCATTCAGCCAAGTGAGGGGGGGAGGTGGGGAAGGGAGAAGCAATCCTGGAAGGAAAAGGGGATGAGATTGCTCAGAGCAGGTGACCTTTGACCTGGCTGAAGAAGGTCAAGAAGGAGATCCCGGCACAGAAAAGGGGCCTGATACGGGAAAAACCGTGTCAGGCGGAGGGAACAGCCCTCGCGAAGGCCTGGAGGTGGGAACTGCTTGCTCCAGGAGCCCCTGCCCCCAGCCCCCGGCGGAAAGGGACAACCTGCCTTCACCCGGCCACGGTCACCCATCACTAGACGAGCCTGGGGGTCGCCACCTGCAGGAGCCTCTGCGCCTGCGACCCTGATGGGCACGTAACACCGACCACTGAGCCCTTTATTTAGGACTCAGGGCGCAGCCAGCCGTCGGGTCCCTCCAGCGTATCCAGGAGGTGCTCAGTGGGGCTTCTGTATCTGCCCAGATTCTGCCGCAGCTTGGGCTTCCTTGAGGCAGTAAGGAAGTCAGTCAACGCTCCCCAGGCCTGGAGACCTGGGTGAAACTGCCGCGACACTCCCTGTTTGCCGTTCTCGGGGTCCCCGGATTCCTCCGTGCGTGTGTGCTGGGGGCGGGATCCCTCTGCCTGGGCCTCTGTTCTCCCGCACCTGCCGGGCGTCCTGGGGCCCCAGCAACCTTAGTGCGGAGCACACTCCCTTGGCCGGGTTCCCGCAGCGGAGCGTGGGAGGGAGAGCTCCCCCAGGGTTGGGTAAGTTTCATCCAATCTGCTAGGCCCGGGGTCCAGGCAACCTACGCCGTCCGCGACTCCTCCTAACGAGACGGGAGGACGCCGTAAGGTGCCCACCCCTTATCTGCACCGACCTCACTCCCAGGGGTCTCTCTCCAAATAATCCGCGCTCCCCCGCCCAATGTTCTCTACACCAACAACCAGGAATTCTGGTGCCTGCTCTTAAGATAATATTATTTTTCACCTTCTTACGCTGATGTTGTGAGTTTCCCTCTTAATGGGTGATTTTAAAAAACACTCCCCAACACTTCAAAATGAAACATTTTCAGATAAACAGAAACGTTGAAACAATTGTACAGTACGGTGAATATTCGTACATCCACCTCCTAGACCTACGTTAACGTCTCGCTACTCTCGCAGTCTCCCGAATCTCTCCCCACTTCTCTGTCCTTAGGTCCGTCAGGCTATCAAACCGTCTTACCCTTTGAAACACTTCAAACTTGCAATCGTCCAAAGCCCTTCTTGTTAGCCTGTCGTTGGTTGGAGTTCAGTCTTAGTTTACATTTTTTAAGGTAAAATTTACACACAGCGAAATATACAGATTTTAAGTGTGCCTTCCTCTGGTGGATTTTAGATGGTACATGGAAGAGTGCTTTTTATTTTAATATTTATTTTAACGTGTATTAGGTGAAAAATAAACATCTGTTTTCCACTTATAATAGTGACAAAGTTTCCTTTAACGATGAATGTATTTAAATGAGCTGATATAAAGGACTGGGGGTAAGAGAGGGGAGAGGGCTTCCAAGATGCTGAGGCTGCGACCCGAGTTGTCGTTTCCAGAGCTGCGGACGCTTCTATGAAGGGTGGTCTCAGCCGCCGAGCTCCGGGCAGAGGTGGGAACTTGGAGCGTCATAAGGGGCTGGGCACCCGACTGGATCTGGGGATCTGCGGTGGGGCCGGAGTAGCGTGCATTGTGTGTGCGCGTGTGTGTTTTCAAATCATTATGCATGTGCGCCCCGACTCCAGTTGTTTGAGGCTGAGAGTGTCTCTGTGAACGCAGCACCCAGCACAAGGCCGGGGACACGGTAGGTGCCCAAGAAGTGTTTCACGAGATAACGCATGTGCAAACGCTTTGTAAACAGTCTACAAAAATAAGAGTTTACAATAGCAGGAAGAATCCCACGGCCCCGGATCCCCAGTACTCGGCACATGGGGTCCGACAAGCCGCAGTGCTTGTTGATTGATAAATAGACCGGCAGGCGGAGGAAGACCGGAGCGGCGTGGCCGGTTCAGCCAGGGCGGGCACTGGGGTCGGCAATTCCTGTGTCCGGGATCAGGGACTCAGCGGAGAAAATGAAAACGTGGTTTTCTGAGCATGCGTACTGGGCCGCCGCATGAGCCTCATTATCATTCTCCGAGAAACGGTTGGTAGGTGCCTCGTTAGCGCAGTAGGTAGCGCGTCAGTCTCATAATCTGAAGGTCGTGAGTTCGATCCTCACACGGGGCACGATACTTTTGTTCGCTCCAGCTCCTTTATCGTCCTAGAAGGATAGGTTTTACTTGCTTGTGAGGGGATCTGTAGACCCTGGGCGTCCGCGCTTTTCCGCCCTGGGGTCACCAGTGTATTGGCATAGCCAACCCGAAATACCGAGGCGGGGCATAGTCGTTGATGGAAGATAACCACTCTTCTGCTCCGCCGCCCTGACGGCTCCGGCGTTCTGGGCCCGGGTGGGAGGACTGGAAGGGAGGCCAGCGCCTGAAGACGGGGCGGCAGGGGGTGGGGCATGGGGGGTGGGCACGTGAGGAAGACAAGCGCGCGGCGGGCTGGGGCCCGAGTGAGCCCCTCGGGAAGATCCCCACTCTCACCACCAGCGTTGCGGCCCGGGTGCCCAGGAGGTGCACTCACCCTGCCGTCCCACCCTCCACCAGGTGTCCTACCCTGGCCCTTGAGCCCTGATGGTGGCGGGAACGTGCACAGCCCTGGGTGAGGGGAGGCCGGGGTGCTCGAGGTCCAGGAGGACGCTGAGGGCGCCGCTGCCTGCAAAGCCACCTAATGGAGGCCCCAGGGCAGTGCCTGGAACCCAAAGTCTCCTGGGGAGGGTCCTGATTATCAACACCTGGCCCCAGGGAAGGGTGGGTCTAGGCAACTGTGGGGAAGTGGGCGGCACCGTGATGAGAGGCCACACAGTGCACCGCGCTGAACTCCTTGGTGAGGAGTTTGGGCTGCAGAGCTTTGAAGTGGCAGGAGAAGATCGGTCTCGGGGATGGGGGTGTTAGGGAGGTCATGCAGGCAGCAGCCCGGCCTAACGTGACAGGGGCTGTGCTGACGCTGCATCTGAAACAGTTGCTGCATTGCAATGATCACCCGTGAAATTTCTGATAATTCAGTCATTCTGAACAGGTCAAATAGCAAATTAAATTGAGATGTGATGTAAAAGGGAAGAACCTTCGTGTTCTGTTACAAGTTAATCACTAAACGGATGTTGCCTATAAGCTTAAATTATACATAATGGCCCATCTCTGGGAACCCTGCTTCCTAGGTAATGAGCATTAAGCTGAAATACCTTTGTTTAACTCACAGAAAACATCCTGACCAGGCCCACCTGTGCAAGACTGCAGCGAGGAAGAAATTAACACATCCCCTCCGGAGGCTGATGGGAACCAGGAAGTGTTTGACTTTACTTCCCACCCCAAACGCACACTTTTAGTATAAAAGAAGCCTCAATTCTAGCTCAGATAAGGTGGTTCTTTGGGATTCGAGTCCACCGTCTTCTTGGTCTGCTGGCTTTCTGAATAGAGTCGCTATTCCTTGCCCCAGCAAGTCCTCTCTCCATTTATTGGCCTGTCCTGCCTTGCTACTCCTGGCTAGCTGGCAGTTGGGGAATTTGGGGGTAAGGCCCAGCAGCTGCTGCAACCGCTTGTCCTGAGAATCTTCTCTTCAGAACTCCCCGAAGCTGCACTGACTGCCCCAGCGCTTGGCAGTTGGAGCAAGGAATCAACATTTGGGAGCAGACAGGCTCCATACAGGGGGGTAAGTCACTCTGGCTGTGTACAGCCAGGAGCTTTATTTCCTCTCCATTTGGGGTTTGGGGAGTTTTCTCCAGAATAAGCCAATTTGTATTTGAGTGGGGTACCCTGTTGGAGAGAGGAAGGAGTTGTTGGACTTTTACCTGATTTGTGAACTGGTTCATTTGTTTCTTTGGACGCTAGCATTTGTGTTTGGGGTTTGTGTTTTGCTCGTCTTGAAATTCTGTCTTTAAAAATGGAAAATGGGGCTTCCCTGGTGGCGCAGTGGTTGAGAGTTCGCCTGCCGATGCAGGAGACACGGGTTCGTGCCCCAGTCCAGGAAAATCCCACATGCCGCGGAGCGGCTGGGGCCATGAGCCATGGCCGCGGAGCCTGCGCATCCGGAGCCTGTGCTCCGCAACGGGAGAGGCCACAACAGTGAGAGGCCCGCGTACCGCAAAAAAAAAGGGAAATACTTCAACTATTCCTAAAGAAAGTCCTCCGAGGTGCATTTTGGATAAGTGATCTGATTACAGCTATGAACCCATGGGTGAGGGGAAGATGACATTTTATTGTAACAATGTGTGGCCACAGTACCTGTTAGGATCTCTGCAAGGGGTTTAGGCAGGGTTATCCTGGGACCCTGTGCACCATGTACTGCCACCCTTGCTGTGTTAATTACTTCATTTATGATCCCCTTATGGTCTCCGGTGTCGTTGGTATATGTAAAACCTCAAGACCAAACTTGAGGGTTTACTTAGGATTTTCTGTTTGTCCTTTGCGTTTTCCGTTTCATTTTGTTTGGTACTATTTCTCCATTTACAGCCAAATCAGTTTTGTGATACTTAAAACTTTTGCTGATGTCAAATGGAGGAAAGGAACAGAAAAAGACAAAACCAAAACCTGTCTGTTCTTGTCCAAGAGAGGGACATTCACAGGAAGAAGAGAAAGGTTCTACTTGTTTCCTAACATCACCAAAAGCTACAAATAGAAATAGAAGTGTCTTTTCCATTAATATTAGTAAAAAGGGTTTAGCCATCTAGACAGGTGACCTTGATTTGTCCCATTTGCCAGAAACCCAATCTGAATCTAACCTCTTCTGTAACTGATGGGTTTTACACTGTTGGACCTGATTCATGGGTGAAATTTCAGAATGGTAACCATGAGGTCCCTGTGTTTGTGTACTTGTACATGTGTTATAGATGTGTGGCATTGCCAAAATTAATTTTTAAAAGAGCTCTATTTAATTGGCTTAAAGGAAATTAAGCACTTATATAAATACTCAAAAATAAAAGAAACTGGCCAGAATGAATTTCGGGTTCACATGATCTAGGAAATATTCAGTATTGAATTAATATCTGGTATTAATTAGCTTGAGCTTGTTGGTTTGATTAATACATACCTGTCTTTAGGGTCATCAACGTTAAGTATAATACTTTTATTGTACTTAGGTTTAGTAGAAATGAAGTAAGACCTTATTATTCCTGTTACAAAGTTTGTCAGCAAGAAAAACAACAATATGACAAAGATTTTAAGTAAATAAAATAGAGGTAAATGAGGTAAGACTTTAAGGTAGACTCTATAGGAATAATTATGTTTTGGGAATGTCCATCTAAAATAGTCTCTACAGATTTTCAAAACTTGAAACTAAACTAAGTTAAATGAAGAGAATTCATTGGGTCGTTTCGAATAGGATAAAACATTAGAACATTAACTTCTGGGCAGGTCTAAATGTACCTACTTTCGCCCTCTTAGGAGAGGAAGACTAAAGCAGAAGTTTGTCAGTCAGGAAACTCTGGTATGACAAAGAGTTTACTATTACTTGCTTTTTGGTTTTCGCTAAAGATTAAGGTTTTAAGGTTAAGAATTGTGACGGAAACACTTCAGTATGCAAAGATACGGGATGTGTGTTTTCAGCAAAGAAGGTATGAGGAATGAAAATGCATTTTGTTAAAGGGAAAAGGGTGGTTTTGTCCTAGAGCTGGTTGTTTCTGAATGGAAAAGAAAATGAGGAACAGATTAACATGGATACAGAAAGTTGTGGAAGGTTTGTGGAGGAGGAACACTGAAAGAATTTTGTGCATAGTCAGGACTGGCTAACGTAAGATTGAAGCTAATTAAGAAAATGAATCTTAAAGGTAAGGTGGTACAAAACCTGAATTTGGTTCTCTAAGAGGACAAAGTTTTCTTAAAATATTGAACTGCTTTTTTAAAAATTTTTTTAAAATTTTATTTTATTTTTTTATACAGCAGGTTCTTATTAGTCATCCATTTTATACACATCAGTGTATACATGTCAATCCCAGTCTCCCAATTCATCCCACCAGCACCCCCCCCCCCAGCCACTTTCCCCCCTTGGTGTCCATATATTTGTTCTCTACATCTGTGTCTCAACTTCTGCCCTGCAAACCAGTTCATCTGTACCATTTTTCTAGGTTCCACATACATGCGTTAACATACGATATTTGTTTTTCTCTTTCTGACTTACTTCACTCTGTATGACAGTCTCTAGATCCATCCACGTCTCAACAAATGACTCGGTTTCATTCCTTTTTATGTCTGAGTAATATTCCATTGTATATATATACCACATCTTCTTTATCCATTCGTCTGTCGATGGGCATGTAGGTTGCTTCCATGACCTGGCTATTGTAAATAGGGCTGCAATGAACATCGGGGTGCATGTGTCTTTTTGAATTATGGTTTTCTCTGGGTATATGCCCAGTAGTGGGATTGCTGGATTGTATGGTAATTCTATTTTTCGTTTTTTAAGGAACTTCCATACTGTTCTCCATAGTGGCTGTATCAATTTACATTCCCACCAACAGTGCAAGAGGGTTCCCTTTTCTTCACACCCTCTCCAGCATTTGTTGTCTGTAGATTTTCTGATGATGCCCATTCTAACTGGTGTGGGGTGATACCTCATTGTAGTTTTGATTTGCATTTCTCTAATTATTATTGATGTTGAGCAGCTCTTCATGTGCTTCTTGGCCATCTGTATGTCTTCTTTGGAGAAATGTCTATTTAGGTCTTCTGCCCATTTTTGGATTGGGTTGTTTGTTTCTTTAATATTGAGCTGCATGAGCTGTTTATATATTTTGGAGATTAATCCTTTGTCCATTGATTCATTTGCAAATATTTTCTCCCATTCTGAGGGTTGTTTTTTCGTCTTGTTGATAGAGAACCAGCTTTTAGTTTTATTGATCTTTGCTATGGTTTTCTTTGTTTCTATTTCATTTATTTCTGCTCTGATCTTTATGATTTCTTTCCTTCTGCTAACTTTGGGTTTCGTTTGTTCTTCTTTCTCTAGTTTCTTTAGGTGTAAGGTTACATTGTTTATTTGAGATTCTTCTTGTTTCTTGAGGTAGGCTTGTATAGCTATAAACTTCCCTCTTAGAACTGCTTTTGTTGTATCCCATAGGTTTTGGAACGTTGTGTTTTCATTGTCATTTGTCTCTAGGTATTTTCTGATTTCCTCTTTGATTTCTTCAGTGATCTCTTGGTTATTTAGTAACATATTGTTTAGCCTCCATGTGTTTGTGTTTTTTACGTTTTTTTTCCCTCCTGGGTCATCTTCACTATCATTATTCTGAATTCTTTTTCTGGAAGGTTGCCTATCTCCACTTCAGTTAGTTGTTTTTCTGGGGTTTTATCTTGTTTCTTCATCTGGTACATAGCCCTCTGCCTTTTCATCTTGTCTATCTTTTTGTGAATGTGGTTTTTGTTCCACAGGCTGCAGGATTATAGTTCTTCTTGCTTCTGCTGTCTGCCCCCTTGAACTGCTTTTTGTAATAGATTGTGAGTTTCTTTAAATGATCTGTATTTACCACTGAGATCTTTTATTATCACTGGTTAAGTGAATGAGTATTGTTTCACAGTGACCTGTGATTCTGTTTGACCAAGTGTTTTAAAGCTTTTTGACATTTTTGACAGACTTCCCAAAGATCAAATTCTAAATGGAGTTCATTTGACCTCTAGCTAACTTTGAGGTCTTCCATGGGGTTCCTGGAACACCTCAAATTATTTGTTTCTCTCCATTTCAGAGAGAGGAATATTAAACTAACTAGGCTTATTTGGTATGTTAAATTACATGGGAAGCATTGTCAAATAAGTGGTGATACAAGCTAAGAAGTTTTATCTTATGGGTAAACATTATTAATATACACATTCTAGAAACTATATGGAACTCCTACAATTCTGGTATATCCTAGTAAATGATATTGGTCATAATTTTAGTAATTATCTTAAATTGTTGTATGTCACAGCAGTAACCAAGTTTCTTTTCAATTGCACTGTAGTCCCAGTTTGCCTTTTGCCAAAGCAAAAAGGCATCCTTTCAATGGTTAGAGATGATCAATTGCTATCTATGGTTTTACAGTGGCTTTTGAATACCTCTATAGCTATTTTGTGAGGAAGCAGGGAAGAATGATGAAGTCCTTTATGTGCAAGCATTTGTGTTATTACATCATGGAAGATAAGAAGGGAAGGGAATAAGAGTGAGGATATGTTGCTTCAGACCTTAACTCCTCCGGCTCAGCTAACTGTCCCATCTACTCTGGCCATTATGCCAGTATATCCACCCTTTCCACCACCTTCCATGCCTGTCTAGCCCCAATTCCTGACACTGGGGCTCAGGACTGCCCCTCCTTCTAGGGATCAATTAGAAAAGCCTGTGTTAGCTTCTGGGGTACAAGGACTTGGTCCCATGATCACCATCTAAGACCCAATAGTGTATCCAATTTGGGCCAGAAGCCACTCCCAGGGCAGGGAGCTTTCCATTGCTGTTATCTCATACAGGGGGCTAAATGCCAACAACCAGCCAGCTGGGTTTCTCATCCTTCTTTAACTGGAAGGATCACACTCCTCCTTTATAGGGAGGATCCTCTACACCTGAAGCCCACTTGACAGGATCCACAGCTGAACCAAATTAGGACCACAATGAGGGAGGAATGCCCTTATTAGAGCACTACTAATTAGTATATCTTGGCAGGGCTTTGAAAAGGGGAACCAAAGCAAAAGAATTTG